ATTAGTGCGCCCAAAGGCCTCGATTTGTTGGCCTATTTCAATGGCCTGAAAGCCGCTCTCTTCTATTAGAAAAAGTGTGAATTGATTCATTAATGCAATGTCAGCCTCTATTCTGCAGCCCTCTATCTACTTGGACAGCTCTCTCGCATTCAGCGTGTCGCTCTCTCTCGCTCTAGACTCTACACGAGAGTCAATACTACCTGTATCCAAAACCAGTCAATGTTCTCTCTCTCTCTAATTCAACACTCACTTTCTCCCAAACCAGCAAGACCTCTCTCTCCCTTCCTCTCTCTAGTTCAGCTCTCTCTCTCCCAAACCAGACCTTTTTCCTCTCTTTCTCCCAAACCAGCAAGACCTTTCTCCCTCACTTTCTCAAATTCAGCACTCTCTCCCTCTCTCTAATTCAGTTTAAACTTCTTTTTACCACTTTTGATAAAGAGCAGATTGTTATCTCCGCATATATAAAAACGGTTCCTTCTATCACATTTTATAATAAGCACAAATAGAAGTGCCACAATACTTCATAAGAAAAATACGAAAAGCTATCCTAGATTGAAACTTTTGCTAGATAATGTCAGCAAGAGAGAGAAGGAGATTAAAAAAGACGAAGTTATGAATGAGAGAGAGAGAGAGAGCTGCGGTTTAGCAGGGAAGAGAGGGAGATAGGCGACTGGTTTGGGAGAGAGATTGCTGATTTAGAGAGAGAGAGAGGGAGAGAGATGTTACTGGTTTGGGGAGGGAGAGAGTGCTGAATTAAAAGAGAGACGGTTTGGACGACTGGTTTGGGTGAGAGAGATAGAGAGTGCTGATTTAGAGGGCGAGAAAGGCAGAGAGGTGCTGCTCTGGTTTGGGAGACAGAGAGGGTGAGAGGCCTTGCTGGGTTGGGCGACTGGTTTGGGGGAGAGAGGGGCAGAGCGTGTTGAATTAGAGAGAGAGAGGCGGAGAGGTGCTGCTGGTTTATTCGATTGATTGGTTTGGGGGAGAGATGGGGTGAGAGTGTTGAATTAGAGAGAGAGAGAGAGAGAGAGGTTGTTGGTTTGGGGGAGAGAGTGCTGAAGCACAGAGAG